TTTAAAAAAAAGAGATATTTCCTTTTATTTGGGGTGTGTGGGTTTTACACAAACTTTCACGGCCTATTTAAAACATCTCCCCTCAGAATGATCAAAATGCTTGGCAGGCTTAAGTTGTCCCTGGTGACGCAGTCCAGGTTGAGATTTCGCCATGTAGTGACCTCATAACAGCCAATCCCGTAATGGATTTCAAACCCCGGCGCTACCAGTTCGTTATCTGTAGCGCACAGGTATGCTTGCTTGCTTCGTGAGCGTGTGGCGCTTCTGCGTATGCGCAGAGCATTTTTTATGACATCTGGGCGGGTGGGCGGAGCCTCCCAACACCGCCACTAAACTGGGAGCAACCCATCACTGATCCAATCAGAATTGTGACCTTGTTCCATTTTCCTGGGGAGTGTGTATGTAGACTTTTTTATATATATATATATATCCTCTGAGGATGCCCCACAGCTGTTCCAATCAATTAGCACCAATGAAGTGAAACAAGTATTACAAAAAGATGGAAGGTGATAAATGAAAACAGGATGAGTTTATGTGCTGTGAAAATGAGAAAAAAAGTGGGCATAGGTCCTTCAGTTTGTGCTTTAACAGCAACTTTCTCATTTGCTACTTCCAGATGTAGGAGGATAGAAAATGAACCTAAAATGTGCATTTTATACACTAATACATAACCGTACAAAAGGAGAGATTAAAATGTGAATAACTGGGCCCCAAAATAAATAAAGATAAGATCTATTTGTTCATAACACTTATTGCTATTATTTTTAAATAAACCCAAAGAGCGTTGCAATACAATTCAATAAAATGCATTATGTTAAGGAAAGGGCACTGGAAAATAGACATACTCAAATATTAGAAGAAATGATTACGGGAATGCATATAAATCTTCTACAATTCAGCAGCAAAAAAAGATCAGTTTCACTCAAGGACTTCAATTCACCTCTTGGTGATTTGCTCATCGGTCTTTAATGATGATTTATTGTAGCATGAATACTTGAAATGTACAGACCAAGAGAACATCTGTGACACTTTTCATTATTTCAAAAGGCAATCATTTCACTTGCTTTTATTTGTTCACTTAAGGTAGGTAGCTGAGCTCATTCCGTAGATAGTGTGCCTAATGGAAGTAAGTCACCAAAGTCAATCCCAATTTGCACACACAATAATAGGAGGAGGAACTATATCCTTGAGAATTGCATCTCAATTTAAATCATTTTCTTACAGAGGTTTGCAAATAGGCTTTCAAAGCAATTCTTTCCCTACTGTTTTCAAACAGTTTCCTATTGTTTGATGAGGATTTAGCAAGGATTCCTTAAAGAGGAGAAAAGGTTTAATCCAGTGTTTCTCAACTATGGCAACTTTAAGATGGGTATGGACTGCAACTCCAGTATTCCCCCACCAGACAACAAAACTCATGATTTATTGGCATCTGTCATGGTTTTATACCATTTTTTCTACTAAGGCAAGTTGCCACGAAATCTGTAAAAAGATAAACAGCAACACTGAAGGCATCTCCAAGGAATAAAATGTTAAGATCCAGTGGTGAAATCTAAAATTTGTTACTACCGATTCTGTGGGCATGGCTTGGTGGTGGGGGGGTAATGTGACTGGGTGGGCGTGGCCAATTTTTTTAAACTTTAAAAACCATTTTTTTCTACAACCTCTTCGGCGAAAAAATGCTTTCAAAAGGCTCTGACGATCCCAGCTGAGTTGCCTGATCGTCAGAGGCTTTTTTTTTCTTTTAAATGCCTCTGATGATCAGGCAACTCAGCTTGGATCATCAGGCATCAGCTTGGATCATCAGCTTGGATCGTCAAACTCAGCTTGACAATCAGGCAACTCAGCTTGGATCATCAGAGGCATAAATGCCTCTGATGATCCAAGCTGAGTTGCCTGATCATCAGAGTGGCTCAGCTGGGCATGGTGGGGGAACAGGGATTTTTGCTACCGGTTCTCCGAACCACCCGCCTCCATCGCTACTGGATCAGGCAATCCGGTCCGAACCGGGAGCATTTCACCCAGATCCCAAGATTAACCGAAAATGGAAGATTCAGTGAAAAGCCAAACCAAACTGATTTTCTAGGAACTAGAGAAGTGAGGAGGAGCTAACAAACAATTCTCCCCTTCACAGATGGGGTGAGACTCAGGAAAGTTCTTTTGCATGTCAGCAATGGCGTACGGCAGGGGTGTCAAACTCGAGGCCTGAAGGCCGGATCTGGCCCACGGGATACTTAGACCTGGCCCACTGAGCCACCCTGGAAACAGCGGACTGGCCCAAAGTGCCTCTGCTGGCAGAACACATGGGCCGCCACAGGCGCCCCTGACATGAGTGAAGTCAAACTGGCCACACCCACCCTGGCCACGCCTACCCCGTCCCCCCAAGGGTCAAATACAACCCTGATGCGGCCCTCAATGAAATCGACATGACACCCCTGGCATAAGCGGAGAACTGTTCAAAGAGCTTCTCTTGCAGTTAAAAGGCAGGTTGGAGCCCTATGTGGTCATGTGGACAGCTGGACCTTCTAAAACAGTGGCCTTCAACCTTTTGCGCACCAGGGATCGGTTCCATGGAGAAAGATGTTTTCATGGATTGGAGGAGGCATGGTTTCATGTAGTGCCTGCATCCCCATTCTTCGTTTATATTTTTCTCTCTTTTTGCACTTCTATCCTTGTTCTCTTTTTATTCTTTATTCTTTTCTCTTGTTAGTGTGTTTTTATGTTTATTCTAATAATATAATACAATTATTTGAGAGTAAAAAAAAAAGAAAAGGTTCCACCAGATTCTATTTTTTTGCAACATAGAATCACAGGGCTGGGGGTGGGGGTGGACTTGGAGGTCTTTAGTTCAACCCCTGCCCAAGGCAGGAGACCTTATATCACCCAGGACCAGAGGTGGGCTTCAGCAGGTTCTGACCAGTTCTGGAGAACCGGTAGAGGAAATTTTGAGTAGTTCGGAGAACCGGTAGTAAAAATTCTGATTGGCCCCGCCCCCATCTATTCTCTGCCTCCCAAGTCCCAGCTGATCAGGAGGAAATGGGGATTTTGCAGTAACCTTCCCCTGGAGTGGGGTGGGAATAGAGATTTTACAGTATCCTTCCCCGCCACGCCCACCAAGCCATGCCATGCCCACCAAGCCACACCCAGAGAACCGGTAATAAAAAATTTGGAAACCCACCACTGCCCAGGACACATAATTGTCCAATCTTTTCTTGAAAATCTCTAGTGATGGAGCACTCACAATTCTGGAGGCAAGCTGTTCCATTGATTAATCTTTCTCACTGTGATGTTCTGTTGATTAATAGAAAAACATCTCGCCTTTTTAAGCAAGTATGCACTTATACCAAAACCTAAAAAGAGATGCATGGATCTTGACTACATGCACTTATCCTAGCTCCAACATGCCCTGAGAGATTGGAGGTTTAAAAAAACCTTTCTTTGGGGTTTTTCCTTCCAGTACTGAAAGAAGGAAAAACCTTTTTAAGTGCATAGCAATTATTATGGATGCTTAAGTGGACACCAGAAATGTAAACAATACATAATTTATATGACAGGGAAAATTTTTCTCCTACCTCCTCCTTCAATCCAGTTCAAAAAGATGCAAAAGTAAAGTTCTACATTTAGGCAAGAAAAACAAAATGTGCAGGTACAGTATACTGTATGTGGTACTTCGCTCAATAGTAGTAACTGTGAAAGGGATCTTGGAGTCCTAGTGGACAACCATTTAGATATGAGCCAGCCCTGTGCTGCAGCTTCCAAAAAAGCCAACACACTTCTAGGGTGCATAAACAGAGGGATAGAATCAAGATCACGTGAAGTGTTAATACCACTTTATAATGCCTTGGTAAGGCCACACTTGGAATTCTGCATCCAGTTTTGGTCGCCACGATGTAAAAAAGATGTTGAGACTCTAGAAAGAGTGCAGAGAAGAGCAACAAAGATGATTAGGGGATTGGAGGCTAAAACATATAAAGAACGGTTGCTGGAACTGGGTATGTCTAGTTTGATGAAAAGAAGGACTAGGGGAGACATGATAGCAGTGTTCCGATATCTCAGGGGCTGCCACAAAGAAAAGGGAGTCAAGCTATTCTCCAAAGCACCTGAGGGCAGGACAAGAAGCAATGGGTGGAAACTAATCAAGGAGAGAAGCAACTTAGAACTAAGGAGAAATTTCCTGACAGTTGGAACAATTAATCAGTGGAACCACTTGCCTCCAGAAGTTGTGAATGCTCCAGCACTGGAAGTTTTTAAGAGGACATTTGTCTGAAGTGGTGTAGGGTCTCCTGCCTAAGCAGGGGGTTGGACTAGAAGACCTCCAAGGTCCCTTCCAACTCTGCTATTCTATTCTATTCTATTCTATTCTATTCTATTCTATTCTGTTCTGTTCTGTTCTGTTCTGTTCTGTTCTGTTCTGTTCTGTTCTATTCTATTCTAACTAGACTCTACTTTGGTGTTTCTACTGTAGGCGCTAAGAAGCAAATTTGGAGTCTAGGCTGTGATAAAAACTGCTTCATATACAAACCTGCTGTGAAATTCAATTGCTTTCTTCATCGGCTTTCAATCAGAGTTTTTAAAAGGGATTTCCAAAAAATAAAAGGGAAGGAGAGAAGCAATTAAAAAAAAAAAGGGCCACAGGATTTAAATAAAAATATAAAAAGAAAATTTACGAAGAGCTCCAGGGATTGTACAATCAAGTGCACCTCACCATTTAAGCGCAAATGATTAGAAGTAATTAATATGCAAAGCCCGCACAAGTTTAAAATAGCAATTAGCCAAGTATAACACTTTTTTCTGCTCTGCAGAAAAAAAAAAAAACGGCAATTCCCTCTCCTCCTCGTTTTCCAGCGTTATTTACTTCTTTTATTCTTAGCTGCACACGCAACTAAACACATTTCTGCTACCTGCTTTTATGACTCAGTAAAACTTTTGAATATGGGGGGGAAAAAAATCAAATTTTGATTACAGAAAAAAAGAGGTAGCTTCAGTGGAAGATATTTACTTACTTGTGCATGTATCCATCTGCACTGCCCGTTAGGTTCATCTGCATAACAGTCTGAAACTCGGTTTCATTACAGCAATATTTAAAGACGGTGTTGTTGTGGTGACAGCAGAAGATGTAAGATTTATTGTCCGACAGTCGGGGACAATGGAATCCAAAGTGGGAGCGACCTTTGTAATCGGTATATGGCTCACAGACTCGAAAATGTGCAGAGAAAGCTGTAAGGGAAGGTGTAAATCTCTCTGTAACTCATTGGCAACAGAAAAGGAGAATAATTAGCTTTTATGTAGCACCGCCAAGCATTTCTGTAAGGGCATATATATCTTATGACCTTGGGGGACGAGGGGAAGCCACGCTACCTAGGAAACTACAGGTAGTCCTCAACTTACAACAGTTCATTTAGTGACCGTCGGAAGTTACAACGGCACTGAAAAAAGTGATTTCTGACCATTTTTCACACTGACGGCAGCATCTGCACGGTCATGCAAATTATATTTGGATGATTGACAACTGACTCACATTTATGACGGTTGCAGTGTCCCACAGTCACGTGATCCCCCTTTTGTGACCTGCTGATAAGCAAAATCAATGGGGAGGGGGGGAGGGGGAAATCGGATTCACTCAACAACCGTGCTACCAATTCAAGAACTGCAATGATTCGCTCAACGAATGTGGCGAGAAAAGTCGTAAAGCGGGGCAAAACTCACTTAAGAAATGTCTCCCTTGGCAACGTAAATTTTGGGCTCAGTTCTGGCCGTACGTTGAAGACTACCTGTATTAGACAAAGCGGCAGGAGTTCCCAGTGGCTTTAACAGTCAGAGAAAGAAACTTTAGGAAACCTGCGGGATGGACATCAGCTCTCCCAGATAAACCAGACAGGAAACACAATTAGATGAATTAATTCTACTTACCGTATTTTTCGGAGTATAAGACGCACCGGACTATAAGACGCACCTACCTTTTTTGGTGAGGAAAAGAAGAAAAAGAAATCTGCCTCTGAGCAATTTTGCCTCATTGCAGCAAACAGCAAACAGCCTGCTTTACTTTCATTTTCGTTTTCAGCATAGCTTGATTAGCACAAGGGAAAAAAAATCTGCTCCCAGCAATTTACCTCCTTGCAGCAAGCAGCAGGGGCCCACGCAAAACAGCCGATCCAATCAACTTGTGCTAATTAGGTTGTGCTGAAGCTGAAACGAGCTGTTTCTTCTTGCTGCTTGCTGCAAGGAGGTAAACTGGTAGGAGGCAGAGGCCAAAGGATGGGGGCCAGTGGGTGGGTGGGGCTATATTTGGCGTATAAGACGCACCTACATTTTCACCCCCTTTTAGGGGGGAAAAAGGTGCATCTTATACTCCGAAAAATACGGTAATTGAATTGAATTGAACTGAACTTGGCCAAATGTGATTCAACACACAAGGAATCTGTCTCCGGTAGAGAAGCACTCAGTGTACATGGAAATAAACAGAATAATAATAATTGTAAGATTACATTAACTGAATCTGACAAAATCTGCCAAGTATAAACTTCCCGTCGCCTACTTGATCCATTATGGTGTCTGCTTCCTAAATTTCTTTCTTAAAACTGATTGTGGGGTGGGGATGTCCTACTGCTCCTGTCTGATGGCTCCCCAGGCAGCATCTGTTCCCCTCAATCTCCAAAATCTATTCCCTTCATCATATGCACACACACCTCTGTAATCTCAGGTAGATTTTGGGTTTTCTTAATGCCACAGCTGTGAATTTCGGGGGCAAAATAAAACAAACAAATATTTCCCCAAACTGTTGCAATAGGATTATAGCTTAGTTTTGATCAGAGGTGGGATTCAGCCGGTTCGGGTGAACCGGTAGTGGCGGCTGTGGGAGGCTCCACCCACCCGCCCAGATGTAATGCATGAGCACTGCGCATGCACTGAAGGCTTTGCACATGCGGAGAGGTGGCACGTGTGCTCACATCTGCAAACCGGTAGGGAAGGTAAGTGAATCCCTACCTCTGGTTTCGATCAAAGAGTTGCCATGTTTTTTTTTCTGACATTGACTGAATTCCATTTTTAATAATTTACAGCACAATCCAGTGCTTTTCAACCTTGGCAACTTTAATATCTGTGCACCTCTGTCCCCAGAATTCCCAGTCAGTATGTTGGGTTCCATACCACCCACTGATGCTTACTGGTTGAAACTTGCCGACTAGGGAATTCTGGAGGCTGAAAAATCCACACATCTTAAAAGTGGCCAAGGTTGAAAAATGCTGGTGGAATCCTATATCTCCCATCAGCTGGAAGCATCTTAATTTCATGGGTCTGCAGGCTTAACGTTTTTCTTCCAACCAAAGACATGGTTTCATTTTTTTCCCCAAAGCTCCAGCCTTACATGTGAAATGAGATTCTCCATTTCACGGACTGATTAGGCTCTAATGGTTAAGTCCCATTGATTTTTCCGGTAAACAAAGCCCTTTAATTTCCCTGTTGAAATCAATACAACGAAGGAGTTGTCTGAGACCAAGCATCCTGCTGGCTGTCTGTGGCTAATGATGCATCAAATACATACAAAGGTGTCCGTGACATTCAAGAGAACAAAAAGATAAAAAAAAAACCAACCCAAAACCCCAAACATCTATTGCAATCTGCCCTTCATCAATACAGCCTTGTGAGAGTCCTGTAGGAGTCTGTGGTCGTAGTGGATGTGGTTCACATCCGGGACAATTAAATCCAAATCCACCTTTGTGGAGGTAAAAATGGCAGCTTCTTTTAGCTAAGGTGGGAGACACAGCTAGACAATAAGTAGATTACGCCCTTTTCAGAAACGGGAGAATCGGTCATTATATCCTGATCTGTCCCAACTGTAGTGTCCTTGAGAAGGAGAGTCAAGATCATGGCCACAGCCACATAATCAAAACCCCACCTGATTTTTTTATATGTGGTAAACCAGGGGTAGCAATCTCGATCCCGTTGCGGGCTGTGTCGGGATTTTGTTTGCCCTTGCAGGGGGGGGCAGGGGTGAATGTGACCTGGCTGTCGCGGTTGACTGGATGGGTGTGGCCAGGCCTGGAGTGGCAGCGGGCAGTCTCTCGCCATCACAGGCCAACTCCGTGGCCTATCGCGGGCCAATTCTGTGGCCTATCGCAGGCAGGATCCAGCGTGCGGGCCGCGTGTTTCTGTGGTAGACAATTGCTACCGCCATTTTGACCTTTCTGACCCCCACCACTTGTCCCATAGTCCTAGTTATAATCACAAAATCCATGTCAACCTGGAAATGCCACTTTTCTTCTATGCCACCTTATCTGAGTTGCAGATCAATCGCTTCATAAAAACTCTGATCACTCTGTTTCCCTCTGCTTTTTAAAGATCTTCCTATTGAAGGCATACAGAAATACCTGCCTATAGGTTATTTTTACTGGTGTTGCTCTATTACAACCAACGAGCAGCAGGAAATAATGTGCACATATATGAAATAAATAAAACCATTTCTAGGATGGCTGACTTGCCTTTCCCAAGACATATCAAGCTCTATTGTTGATTAAAAACAAACAGCAACCAAACAACCAGATGGCAAAAGGAGCTTTTGTAAGAAAAAAATCAAATGCCACTTTCTTCTATTGTTTTTCATTGACTCTGTGCTGACCCGTGAAAAGCTCATACTGAAATAGATGTTATTTTAGTTGTGCTTAGCAACTAGAGCTTAAGCACAACAAATAGTTCAGGGATTTGGAATCAAAATAAAAGCCACTGTTAAATTAAAAAACGTCAGACTTACCTGCTGACAAGAGCGAACAGAATACAATAATCAGTGTATGTAAGGATTGCCGACCACAACTTGTCATTGTTTTCTTTTCATTGAGCTGTTTGAGGATTACCTAATGAACCAGACAAAATAGTGAAGTTAGAAGAGGGGGACATACAGTATATATACACTGATAGAACCACATGAAATCAGCATAGCACACACATCAACTAAAGCGCTTCAAAACCAAAAGACTCAGCAACCCCAGAATCAAGAGCCTTGATAGTACAGTGGTCTACGCACCCTGTTATTAACACAGCTGCCTGCAATTTACTGCTGGTTGGAATCTCTCCAAGGCTCAAGGTTGACTCAGCCTTCCATCCTTTCTAAGGTAGGTGAAATGAGGACCCAGTTTGTGGGGGCAATAAGCTGACTTTGTATAAATATATACAAAAAGTATGAAGGCTGTTGCTTAACGCATTGTAAGCCGCCCTGAGTCTCCGGAGAAGGGCGGCATATAAATCAAATTAAAAAAAATATAAAGAAAAAACAGGAGTTTTATGTAATGACTGCAACAACCACTATGTAGGACAAACAGGCAGAAAATTGGCAGAACACATCCACAAACATCAACTAGCAGTCGGAAGACATGATGAAAATTCTTTAATTTCACAACAGACAGACAGACAGATTTAACCATAGTTTCAATTAGGAAACTGTGACCATCCTAGGCCAGGACAAGTCCAAAAACGACAGGGAATTTTTCTAGAAGCCTGGCACTCTGACAAATCAGCCACCAATAGACACAAAGACATTAACAACATCTATAGACTGTGCAAAAGAGACAATCACCCAGCCCAAAACAGAACAAAAAGAGCCGAGCACCTCTCCACCAGCAATCAGCACTCAGATCAGCATAGATTAACTCCAAGGTTAACTTCAGACCAAGAAGGAAGTAAATAATACCCCAATCAAGAAACTGCCAAAGAGCCAACAGTAGGCAGCCCATCCAAAGGATCTCTAAGACCATCTCACCAAACAGTGGTGGAATTCAATTTTTTTTTTTACTACCGGCACTGTGGGCATGGCTTGGTGGGCGTGGTGTGGTTGGTGGGCGTGGCAGGGGAAGAATACTGCAAAATCCCCATTCCCTCCCCACTCCTGGGGGAAGGATATTGCAAAATCTCCATTTCCACCAGTGGTGAAATCTAACATTTCTTACTACCGGTTCTGTGGGTGTGGCTTGGTGGTGGTGGTGGGTAATGTGACTGGCTGGGCGTGGCCAATTTTTTTTTTTTACTTTTAAAACCATATTTTACATGTAAAACCATGTAAAAAAATGCTTTCAAAAGGCTCTGACGATCCCAGCTGAGTTGCCTGATCGTCAGAGGGTTTTTAAAAAGCCCTCTGCCGATCAGGCAACTCAGCTGGGATCATCAGAGCTTGGATCGTCAAAGCCATTTATAAGAAAAGGAAGGATGAGAAGAATAATAGTAATACAGTCTTAGTAGTTAATTGGACAGTGTTGTGGGAATTAGTTGTTTAGCAGAGTGATGGCATTTGGGAAAAAACTGTCCTTGTGTCTAGTTGTTCTGGTGTGCAGTGCCCTCGTTTTGAGGGTAGAAATTGAAACAATTTATGTCCAGGATGTGAGGGGTCTGTAGATATTTTCACAGCCCTCTTTTTGACTCTATATCATAACATATATGATGTTACTCAAAGCAGGGAGCAAGCGAAGAAGACAGAGAAAATATTTTCTGACCATTTCAATCCAAAACGTTTTTGCAGGTTAATAAAATACAAATCCAGAGTCACGTGCCATGTTTCCATATGGAAAGCAGAAATTGATAAGAGCAATCAAATAAAACATAAAAAAAGAAAGCAAAAAAAAAAAAGAGAATAGAAAGAATCCAGCAGGGGTTGAAATAAGTCAGCATTCAGCCAGCCAATTAACCTTGAAAGATAAAAAACAAAAGCAAAAGTTCATAAAGCGAACTTAAAAATCCCAGGCATGCTTAGGATAATGTTCTGCCAGAAGATGGAAATGTAACAGTAAGAGTTGGAAGGGACCTTAGAGGTTATCTACTCCAACTCCCTGCTCACGCAGGAGACCTGTACTAGGGATTCGAACCACCAAACTGCTGACCTTTCTGATCGACAAGCTCAGTGTCTTAGCCACTGAGCCACCTATTCAGGCCTATTGACTTTTCGACTGCTTCCACAAGAAGCTGCAATATTCAAGATTCCCCCTTCCAGGTGGATCCACATCTGTCCAAAAGTTGTCTCGGGTCATTCCTAAGTGCCCCCATTCAAATCCAGGGGACAAAGCTGGCAAAGAACCAGTTCTGGCAACGAACACAGCAGAGTGTAAGAGAAAGCAGAGCTCTTACTCCACAGCAGCCATCTTGGGGAGGCCTGGACTGATGGGATCTATTATTTTAAATTGGTTTTAAATTGATTTTAGTCTGTTTTAGTATGTTTTTAATGTGTATTTATTGGGATTGTTTCGCTGATGTGAGCCGCCCTGAGTCCTTTGGAGAGAGGGCGGCATATAAGTCCAATAAATAATAATAATAATAAATAATAATCCGTATCTTGTCTCTTTTTTACATGTACTACATGCTACATGTAAACAGGTGTGGTGCTTCATCTGCACCAATTATCTCCACCATGTTGACTTTTTTTAAAAAAAATATTTTTATTCAACATTTTTAACCTTTAAAATCAGAATTACACTATTACAGCTTTCCGTTATCGGAATTTTTTCTTAATTTCAACTTATCCACAGGCCTATTGTTTTATACATATACATTCTTATTTCATAGTTACTTATTTTTATAATATATACAATATTTACATGCCTACTACACTCTAAAATATACATTTTTTCCGTTTATTATTTTTCTTGTACATTCACTATACATTAATTTTAGACTTCTTTTCAAGCCAATTATACCACCTGTTCCACGTCTCATAATATACTGTTTTTTCTCTGTCCCTTAATTCCATCGTTAATTTATCCATTTCTGCATATTCTAGCACCTTTTTTATAATCATTGCATTTGAAGGGGTGTTTTCTTGCTTCCAGTTTTGGGCGAATGTGATTCTGGCTGCGGTGATTATATGAAGCATGATGTATTGAATTTCTTTGCTTATATTATCTTTTATTATACCCAAAAGGAATAACTCTGGCTTCATATCAATTTTTTGTTCACTAATTTCCTCCATTTTTTAATTTTTGTCCAATATTCCCTGGCTTTGGGACATGTCCACCACATATGGTAGTAGGTGCCTTGTTGGTGGTTACATTTCCAGCAGTTTGGTGGTCTACTGGGAAACATCTTGCAATGTGCCAAGATGTTTCAATGTTGACTTTTTGACCCCCACTGCAGGGCCACCACACTGCAGGCCCACCACCTCAGGCCAAAACATTTGGGCGACCCAATCAAATACTAATGAAGGTCATTCTTGCTTAGCTTTCAGGAGTAAGTCAGGGTGAATGAGGTTCTGGGCACAGAGTACAGTAAAGCAAAGCTTTGGAAATGAAAATGGCTTAACCAGAAAATATTAAAACAGAAGCAGTCATGTTCAAAGGCCTCTGGCTGCTATTAAGTACAACAGGCTTTTAAAACCTGTAAGAAAATATCAAAGGGAGCTCTTGGCAATCTCACAAAGCTCCTAATGCAAGGCCTACGCTCATTCAGTCACTCCTAAATCTGATCTAGTAGCTTCATTTTCTATAAACATTGGACAAGAAATCTGCTGTCTTGGGAAATTATCCTTAAAAGCTTACTGGAAAACAGGGCTGATTCTCCTTTTCTACACACTCAAATTTTAAAATTATGGAGTAATTGCTTTCCTAATAATCCATAAAAATGCACTCATAATTATGTATTTATACAAATAGAAAATAAATATAGTACCAAGCATCTATTTCTAACAATAGAAATAAGCACCTATCGTTAACTCAATAACCCTTGCAGTGGTGCCCCAACTGCAGTTGCCATCCTAGTGCCAACAAAATTGGAAATCAAGCCTCTCCAAGCTTACATCTTCAAACTGTTGATATTTCAGGATAAGGTAAAGGTTCCCCTCGCACATATGTGCTAGTTTTTCTTGACTCTAGGGGGCGGTGCTCATCTCTGTTTCAAAGCTGAAGAGCCAGTGCTGTCCAAAAATGTCTCCACTGTCATGTGGCCGGCATGACTCAATGCCAAAGGCGCACGGAACACTGTTACCTTCCCACCAAAGGTGGTCCCTATTTTTCTACTTGCATTTTTTACATGCTTTCGAACTGCTAGGTTGGCAGAAGCTGGGACAAGTAACGGGAGCTCACCCCGTTACGCGGCACTAGGGATTCGAACCGCTGAACTGCCAACCTTTCGATCGACAAGCTCAGCATCTTAGCCACTGAGCTACCGCGTCCTTCACTATTTTAGGATACTATCCAACGAATAATCAAGTGCCACACTGGTGAAGCTGTTACTTTTTGGCAGAGCCGTGTGGGCAGAGCTACGTGGGCTGAGGAAAATTCACAGCTCAGTCGGCCATGAAAATTCATGGGGGAACTTTCAGTCAGTCCATCCTCCCCTTTGCGAGTCTACCTCATTGGATGATTAGGAGAATAAAAGAATTATCAGAGATAATTGTGCAGAGCCTCTTGAAAACAAGAAGCAAGGAGTAGAATACAAATTTAACCAGTTCCACCTTATGGTTATTAGGCTGCTTAACATAGGCTGCTTAATATAAACCACCACAGTAGAAAGGACAATGTTTATATTACAGAAAATACCCCTTTCCCCTTTGTTCTATACGTGCCAGCTGGGGAATTCTTTGGAGTTGAAGTCCACACATCTTAAAAGTTGTCGTGGTTGAGAAACCCTGGTTTAAGGATTTGGTGAAGCTGGTTCAGGGTCAGAGGAAAGCAGCAAGGATGATGAAGGAGGAGCTACAAAAAACTGAAAGACTAGATATGGTTCATTTTGAGGAAAGGCGATAGGGAGAAGAACATGATAGCACTTTGTTTCCCAAAGAATACACTTGAAATAGCACTTTAAGACGGATTCAAAGAACCCAGAACAGGGTTGGAGAAGAGGAGCTGGGATGATCAGGTTGCTAAGTCTTATACAGAGA